TTTTTTTCGGTCTTTTTGAGACAGGGTCTCCCTGTAGCTCCAGCTGCCTGGAACTCGCTCTGTAGACCAAGCTGGCCTCAAACTCACAGAGGGATCCGCCTGCCTCTGCCTCCCAAGTGCTGAGATTAAAGGCATGTACCACAAAGCCTGGCTAAAGCAATCATTTTTATAATGATTTATTTAGTGGGGGGTATGGATTCACTTGTGGAAGTCAGAGGACAAGTAGTAGTAATTGGTCCCTTTTTCCCACATGGATGCCAGGGATCAAACTTAGGTCATCAGGCTTGGCAACAAGCCCCTTTATCTGCTGAACCATCTCTCCAGCTATTAGAACAGGATTTCTTGATGTCAATTATTTAAAAAGTACTGCCTCTGAAGGGGTATGAAAAAAGTGGCTGGAGGGATGGGCTCAGTTGTTAAGAGTACTTGCCACTCTTCCAGAGTCCCTGAGTTCAATTTGCAGCTCACAACCGTCTATAACTTTAGCTCCGGAGGATCCAGCACCCTCTTGGGCACCCTCACTCATGTGGCACACACACATAGGTATAAACACACACATGCGTTTCAATCTAGCTTGTAGCCGGGCTTGTTGTCGTGCCCCTTTAATCCTAGCACTTGGGAGGCAGAGGCAAGTGGATCTCCGTGAGTTCAAGGCCAGCCTCGTCTACATAGTGAGTTCCAGGCCAGCTAGGGCTACAGGGAGACCCTGTCTCAAAAAGACCAAAAAATTAATTAATTAATTAATTTTAAAAAATCTCAAAAAAAAAAGGTGCCCCTGTAAAAGAATGCAGTCCTGTTAGGGAATGGGACTTGCCTTTGACCTCTTAGCTAGGGGTATTTTCACAGTGCACAGCTTCTACAACAGTGTCTGGTAGCTTTGTTCTCATAGCAAGTAAATTAAAATTAAAGGTCCTTGTGTGCCACAGGCCTTTCTAGATCTGGCTTCCAGAGTGCACCTCTTCAATCTCCCCGTCCATCCTTCCCAGTCCACTGCACTTCTCCAGTCTGCCCCTTATCTAAGAGCAGTATGCTTGGGGTGGGCACACAGCCCACAGTCCAGGTTTCTGCTTGTTTCTACCCAACCTCCAGTTACCCTGATTACCTAGGTTATAGTAAACCAGGTAAAAGGTCTTCGTGGGTATGGTAAGGCCCAGGCCTTCCACCAGTAACAGGAGGGTACTTTCATCAGGGATTAAGGTAGCCCAGGTGATGGAGCAGTTGACCACTGTGAGGGAAGAACAGAGTCTAGAGCAGCCTAGAACCCCACCTCTCCCCCAGGGCCATGGCCATGTTCTTCCCCCTAACCCACACATCCTTTCCCAGAGGCCTCCCACCCTCTCACACCAGACCCCACTGGAAGATGAGTACCCATTAACTTTTCGCACACCGACCAGCTCTCTGGTACCATCTTGAAGGACACGATGCCATCTGTGGAAGAAGTCAGGTCCCACACTTAGGCTCTGTCTACCTCACCAGCATCTGGAAGGCAGCCTACCCAAACAGCACTGGGCTTCCCACACCTGCAGCTCTTAGTCCAGGGATTCCAGGGTCTGGGTCTACCCTCTCACTTTCCCATCTCTATACCTGGCCTGGGATCATAGAAGGGTGCTCAGATCTGGAGATGTGACCAGTAAAGGGCCAATCAGAGTGCATTCTGGGGTTGATGGTAGAACCAATGGAACTGTGTGGGGGTGCACACTTGTAATCCCAGTGCCGGCCTTGGTGAAGGCAGGACGGTTAGAAGTTCAAGGCCAGCCTAGTCTACATAAGTACTTGTTTAAAAAAAAAAACAACAAAATCAGGAATAGGAGAACCATTTCATTCCATCTTTCCATCAGATTTCTTTGGTTGTGTTGCTGGTGTTGCCCCCCCCCCATTCTGAGAATAGAACCCTAAGCTTTGTGCATACTAGGCAGCAAAGTGCTTTACCACTGAACCACACCCCAGTCCCCCATTGGGGCTGGATTCTAGGCAAGCTCTCTAATGCTGAACCAGGCTTTGGCCCACCTTCCTTTTGGCTTTTTGAGACATAGTCCAGGATGACCTTGAACTCTGGACTTAGGAAGCCTCAACTTCCTAAATGCTAGGATTACAGGACTTTACTACCACACATGGTTCAACCACAAATCCTCGTAACCGCTGAATCATCTCTAACCAATAACTTAAAGAGTGTCTAAAACTTGATGAGGAGTCGGTGAGATGGCTCAGTACATAAAGTGCTTGCCACACAAGCATTAGGATCTGAGTGTAGATCCCTCAGGAAGGTGGAGATAGTCAGATTCTAGGAGCTGGCTGGCCAGCCAGCCTTTCGTAAACTGTGAACTCCAATTTCAGTGAGAGACCTTATCTCAAAAAATAAAATGGAAGGCTGGAGAGATGGCTCAGTGGTTAAGAGCACTGACTGTTTTTGCAAAGGACTCAGGTTCACTATCAACAGCCATATGACAGCTAACAACATCTGTAACTCCAGTTCCAATTCTAGGTGATTGAATGCCTTCATCCGGCTTCTTTGGGTATTGCATGCACGTGGTACACTTACATATATGCAGGCAAAACACTCATACACATATAAGATAAACTCTAAAAATAAATTTAAAATTTTAAAATTTTATTATTTTTCTTTATTTATGTGTATGAGTGTACGGCCTTCATATAAGTGAGTGCACCCATGTTGTGCAATGCCACGGAGGTCAGAAGAGGGCTTTGGATTCTCCTGGAACTGGAGTTCATAGTCGCCATGTGGGTGCTGGGAATCGAACCCTGGGTCCTATGCAAGAGCAGTCAGTGCTCTTAACTGCTGAGCCATCTCTCCAGCCCCTAAAAATAAAAGGATGGAAGACCAGCCAGATGGCTCACCAAGTAAAGGCATTCGCTGCTGAGCCTGACATTCTGTGTTCAATCCTCCAGGACCCACATGGTAGAGAAAACCCACTTGCACAAGCTGTCTTCTAACCACACACATACACACACACACACACTGGCATGCAAATATTCTTTCTCTCAAACACCATGGCATGCATGTATTCTCTCTCTCTCTCTCTCACACACACACACACACACACACACACACTGTGGCATGCTCATTCTCACACAAACACAGATGCACACTGTGGCATGCACATATTCTCTCACATGCGCTATGGCATCATGTATTCTTCACACACATATATATTATGGCATACATGTTTCTCTCTCTCTCTCTCACACACACACATACACACACACACACACACACACACACACACACACAAATAAGGTAGAGAGGGTGACTGAGGAAGAACCTGATGTCAATGTTGACCTCTAGGCTTCCCAAAACACAAACAGGTACTCACACGCATATACTACACACACACACACACACAAATTTAGATTTGTGGAAGAGATGGCTCTGCGGAAAAGTGCTTGCCATAGAAGTGTCAGGACCTAAGTTCACAGCCTCAGAATCCACATAAAAGCTGGAAGCCTAGCTTGAGCGTGTGTAATTCCAGTGCTCCTGGACGTCAGGAGATGGGAAGCAGAGATGGGGGGAACCCCAGGAAACTCTCGGGCCACCTAGCCTGCTGTTGGGATTACAAGTGAGCACCTTCGCCGGGTGTGGTGGCGCACACCTGTAGTCCCAGCACTTGGGAGGCAGAGGCAGGTGGATCTCTGTGAGTTCAAGGCCTGCCTGGTCTACATAGTGAGTTCCAGGCCAGCTGGGGCTGTAGAGAGACCCTGTCTCAAAAAAACCGAAGGAAAAAAAAAAAAAAAAAAAAACAGTTAGAAGTGAGCACCTTCATGCCCAGCTCTGCTTACATAGTTTTAAAAATGAAAAAAAAAAATTTTTTTTAGCTGAGCGTGGTGGTGCATGCCTTTAATCCCAGCACTCAGGAGGCAGAGGCAGGCGGATCTCTGTGAGTTCAAGTCCAGCCTGGTCTACAAAGTGAGTTCCAGGACAGCTGGGGCTACAGGGAGACCCTGTCTCAAAAAGACCAAAAAAAAAAAAAAAAATGGTTTCTACCATCTAACACCAAACAGGTACCTCACACAGTCCAAGCCTTCTCTCTACAGATGTATACAGCTCCGCCCCCCCATACATAAGGACAACCTGCAGCCTGCAACCTCTCCCAAGGACACACAATGAGGAATGGGGGTCCTAGGGAGGACCAAGCTCCTGAGCTTCCAGAAGACACCCACTCTTACCTGTAATAGTCCCAAGGTGAACATAACCCTCGTTCTTGCCAGTGGTAAGAGCCAGGACATATTCGGAACCATTGCCATTGAGGAATACTGGGCACAGCTTCTTAATGCACTCGCTGGGCAGGACACGGACCCAGTTGCCTAGTGGGCAAGCAAGGGGCCTCAGGGCCAGGTGGTCAGATCTGGTGCCTGGTCCCCTCCATCCTCTTCCTCCTGGCCTTACAGAACCTGTTACCTGTTCTCTTAGTTTGACACACCTAGTCAGCAAGGTTTTCCATCAGAAAGTCTCTAGGAGTAGCACATGCTGCCTTTAAGAAACGTCCCCTTATTCATCTTCTGTCCTTTAGCTCCAATTTGCTTTTGGTTTTGAAATTTTAATTTATTTATTGTATGTGTAGGAGTGTTTTGCCAGCATGTATATAGGTGTGCCATGTGTGTACGATGTCCACAGAGGCCAGAACAGGGTGTTGGATGCCCTGGAACTGGATTTTCAGACTGTTAGCTGCCATGTGGGTGCTGGGAACCTGTTAGAGTCCGGGTCTGCAGATGACCCTCTCCCAGCGTAGAAAAGCCTCATCAAACAGGCCATGAGGGCCCCCTTGCAAAACAGGAACTGGCCAGACAGCTACATTTAGAGCTGTCTCAGCACAAAGCTGTTCCCCAGATAATTTTAGAAGATAAACAGGACCCTGCACCCAGACCCACTGATGTAAGAACTGTTTCAGTTCAATCTACTTCCCTTGAAACTAAAGATTATTTTTGCCACCTTCCACATTCCCCAACCCCCTTATAAGAACTTCCTCAGCAGTCACAAGGCTGCTGGTTGCCTTTCTCTCCCCAGCTGAGCTGCCAGCCACCAATCAGCCTAAGAAATCAACTTTTCTTTACTGGAATCCTATGTTTCCTGTGGCTGTTCCCTGCCTGGCTTTTATCTAACAGAATCGAAGTCAAGTCCTCTGCAAAAGCAGCCAGTGTTCTTAGCTGCAGAGCCATGTCCTAGCCCCAGCTCTATTTTATTACTGTTTTTGGTTTTCTGAGCATCTCATGCTACAATCCTGGCTGGTTTCAAACTTACTAGGTAAGCCCAGGCTTGAGTCTCAACTGGCCAGCCTCCTGCTATAGACTTCCAAGTTCTGGCTACTAACAAAGAAATGTGCTTTCCTGGGGGCTATTGAGGAACAGAAAAATGGTCAGTTGCTGGGTGCAGGTAGGAATTGCTATGGGTGGGTCAGCAAGGAGACAACTAATGGTGACAGTCTCCAGTGAGTCCCTGGATCCACCTGTGCCTGAAGCCAGCATGCTCATGGACTTCTCCTCAGTCAGGTAAGCCATAAAACAGTCATACCCCACTTTTTTTTTCAGGGGGTGGAGGGAATTTGAGACAGTTCTCAATAAGCTTCCCAGGCTGGCTGGAATTTGCTATGTAACCCGGGCTGGCCTCAAACTAGAGAGCCTCCTGCCTCAGCTTCCTAAGTGCTGGGATTGCAGGTGTGTGCCACCATGCCGAGCTTCTTTTTCCTTTCTGGTTAATATCCTTGGTTTCACCTCTCTCTCACACTGCCCCCCCCCCACTCCTCCCTGTCCCCAGCCCAGCCCTCTCACTGCTGCTGTGGGATCTCTCGAAGAGCGTGGAGTAGGTGCCTGTAAAATAGTAGACCAGCTGGTTCTGCCGGATGAAGAGTGTGCTCTCAGTGGAAATGGCATCGTGGATGGTGGCCGAGAAGACAGCCAGTGGACAGTAGTAGGAGCCAACCCAGCAACTGTCAATGCTCAGCTGTGGGGGAACAGAGCAGGGGTAAGCTGGCAACTGTGGCCTCAGCCTCCACGCTTTGTCTGAGGTATGGCTACCGCACTGATTGCTTAGATGGCCCTCATCATGACCCGGGGAAGCAGAGGACAGGCCTAAGTCAGCTTGGGCTTTGTCTGCAGTTCAGAGTTGCAACGCACAATGTGCTCACCACTCCGTGTGCCCGTGTTGGAGTTGTGCTCACATGGATAGAATTCCAATGTTTGGTTCAAGACACATTTGAACAGTTCTAGTCTGCCTTGAATACTCTTGGTGGCCGGATGAACATGACCTAAGCCCAGTAGTCTGTTCATAACTGCACCGCCACTAACGGGGAAGGTATCACTAGTGAAAAGGGCTTGTCTAAAAGAAGGATCTAAAATATTTTACTTATTATTTTTATTTAATGTCTATGAGTGTATTGCTGCACGTAAGTGCACCCATGTCATGCAGTGCCCTTGGAGGTCAAAAGAGGGTGTTAGATCCCCTGGAACTGAAGTTACAAATGGTTGTTAGCCTCCATGTGTGTGCTGGGAACTGAACCTGGGTCCTCTAGACTTGGATGCAGACATGTCTTCTAGACATTTCCTTCTCTATGTTCATCTCAAGGCAAAAAAGATAAAAATGAAGTTTACATTAGATAATCACTAAAAGTAAATACAAAGAGACATAAAAATGCTGAAATCATTGCGGCTGCATCCTATTTTCTCTTTGTAAGTTCATTTTTATTTATTTATTATTTTTATTTTATGGGTATTTGTGTATTCCTTCCATGCATGTAGTTGCACCCATGTTATTGCAGTGCTCTCAGAGGTCAGAAGAGGGTATTGGATCCTGTGGAACTGGAGTTACAGACTGTTGTTAGCCTCCATGTGTGTGCTGGGAACTGAACCTGGGTCCTCTGCAAGAGCAGCCAGTGCTTTTAACTGCTGAGCCATCTCTCCAGCCCCCTAAAGAGGGAATCTAAATCAAGTTTCTGTTGCTAACTAGCATCTTAGAGGCAAGATAGAGTGATACAGGCTGGTGTGTCCTCCAAGTCCATGACTGTATTTGGAGATAGCCCTTAGGGGGAAAAAATATTTTTGAGACAGGGCCTCACTATGTAGTCCCAGATGGCCTATGAGTTGCTATGTAGACCAGGCTGGCCTTGATCTCACAGTGACCCATCTGCGCTGCCTCCTTAGTTCTGGGATTAAAGGCATGTGCTACCATGCCTGACTTGTTTTGTATTTTATTTATTTATTTATTTACTTAGAGACAGTGTCTCCCTATAGCCCAAGCTGTCCTGGAATTGCTATATAGACCAGGCTGGCCTCCACTCACAGAGATCTACCTGCCTCTGCCTCCCAAGTTATGGGGTTAAAAGTATGTGCCACCATGCCCAGCTTGTTTTGTATTTTTGAGAGGAGGGTCTCATATAGTCAAGGATGGAACTCACTATATAGCTCAGGCTAGCCTTGAACTCCTGCCTCTTATCTCCCAAATGCTGGGATCACAGACTTGTGCCACCATACCTGTGGTGGTTTGAATGCGAAATGTTCCCCATAGGCTCAAGTATTTTTGGTCATTTGGTGGCTATTTGGGAGGGTCATGGAATCTAGAAGGTGTGACCTTGCTGGAAGAAGCAGGTCATTGGGGTGGGCTTTGAGAGTTCACAGCCTTGACCCACTTCCAGTTTTGCTCTCTGCTTCCTGTGTATGACTAAAGATGTAAAGGCTCAGCTTCCAGCCCTCCCACTATGCCTGCTGCTTGCTGCCACGCCTCCCCATGATAGACTCTGATTCCTCTGGAACTGTAAGCCCAAATAAACTTTCTTCTGTAAGTTGCCTTGGTCATAGTGTTTTAGCACAGCAACAGAAATATAACTAATACAATACCCCATAAAGTTTTTATTTTCTTTTTCTTGCAGTACTAGAGGTTGAATTTAGGGTCTCATCCAGGCAAGTACTCTACCAGTGACCTACGGCAACCAGCCCTCTTTTTTTAAAATATTATTTTTATTTTATGTGTATGTTGCCTGCATGTATGTAAGTATACCCATGTCATGCAATACCTGTGGAGGTCAGAAGAGGGTGTCAGATCACACGGAACTGGAGTTATGGATGGTTGTTAGCCATCATGTGGGGGTCAGGTCCTCTGGAAGAGCAGCCAGAGCTCTTAACCACTGAACCATCTCCCCAGTCCCACAGCCCTCTTATTTTTTAACTTTTTAAAAAATTGTTATTTTTTATTTTATGTGTATGCCTGTATTGCCTGCATGTAGGTAAGTGCACCTGTGTCGTGGAATGCTCTCGGAGGTCAGAAGAGGCTGTTGGATCCTCTGGGACTGGAGTTATGGACAGTTATTAGCTGCCCTGTGGGTGCTGGGATTCGAATCCCAGCTGCAAGAACAACCAGTGTTCTTAACCGAGCCATCTCTCCAGCCCATACTTTTTATTTTGATACAAGGTCTCATTGAGTCAACCAGACTAACATTTAACTTATGATTCCCCTGCCTCAGTTTCCCCAGGAGCTGGGACTATAGGCTTGTGTTAACAGTTCTGTCTGATAATTAAGATTAAATGAAGTGCCAGGCATGGTGGTGCACACCTTTAATCCCAGCATCTGGGAGGCAGAGGCAGGTGGATCTCTGTGAGTTGGAGGCCAGCCTGGTCTACATATGAGTTCCAGGCCAGTTGGGGGGCTACAGAGAGACCCTGTGTCAAAAACAAACAAACAAAAGATTAAGTAAGGTGCCAAGCCAGTCAACATTCTAGCATGGAGAAAGCACCGCCCCCTGCAAAATATAAAAATAAAAGAACAGGCTGGGGATAGATAGGGCTCAGCACCAGAGCACCTGCCTAGAATCCACCACCAATGAGGGACTGGGGGCATGGCTCAACAGTAGAGCACTCGCTTTGAACTCACCAGTGAGGAGCAGGGGGCACGGCAGCAAAGCGGTTGCCTAGAATCTACCAGTAAAAGACTGGAGCCAAGGCTCAGCAGTAGAGCACCTGCCTAGAATGCCCCAGTGAGGGCCTGGGGACTTGACTCAGCAGGAGACTGCCTGCCTAGCATGCAACAGGCCCTGGGAACAATACCCAGTGTGCGTGCACATGCACATGCACTCAGGCACACACACACACACACACACACACACACACACACACACGCACGCACGCACGCACGCACGCACGCACGCATGCAGAACAAAGATGTGAACCTAAGTTGCCTGGCAGTAGAATCTTCCCAATGCGCTCTGCTGACAACTGGTGTATCTTTAGGGACTCATTCTGTAGCCCAGACCCTGCCTCATTCAGGGCCTAAGACCCAGCTATAGACACCCCAACCCCCTAGCATTACTCACCTCTACGACAGAGTAGTCACGGAAGTTAGTGTCTGATATCAGGATGGTCTTCTCGAAAGGAATGCCACCGAGGATGAGCACAGGCGCATGGTTCTGAGTATACCACAGGGGCCTGGATTGTCTAACCCTAAAGTACTGGGCCTTCAGATCAAAGGACTGCCAGAGGAGGAGGGGAAGGACCATTCAGCACACCCCTACCCACCTGTCAACAGCTCCACCTTAGCCACCAGCCAGTGTCCTCTATTGACCACAAAGCCCCTGTGGTTTGTTGTCGCCTCCCTGACCACATTTCCTACCACTCTCCCCTCACTCACTCTAGCCCAGTCCCATCAGGGTCTCTTCTCTACTCAGTCCTCCCCAAAGCCTTTGCACCAGCTGCTGCCTCTTCTTTTCCCCTTCTTTATTTTTTGTTTTGTCTTTTTGAAACAGGGTCTCCTATAGCCCCAGCTGACTTAGAACTCACTATGTAGGCCAGGCTGGCCTTGAACTCACAGAGATCCATCTGCCTCTGTACCACCATGCCCAGCCACCCCATCTTTATTTTGTATTTTGCAT